CTCTCCCTCCTCCCTGCCTTCCTTCCCTCCCGTGGACAGATCGGACGAGAAGGAGAAGGTGGTCATGGTGGCCTCAGGCCCCGGGGGCAAGAAGAAGATTGCCATGGTGGAAGCGCCTCAGCCGGTGAACGATTTCTTGAGGTGGGGGGGGAGGGCGAGAGGAGGCGGGGAAGGACGGGAGGGTAGGAAAGAGGGACGAGAGGGAAGGAAACAGAGTCAGGGGATGAAAAGACATAGGTTGTGTGGAGAAAGGTAGGGGCAATTGGGTTCTCAGCCTTGCATTCTCACTCTCTCGCCCGTCCTGCTTCCCTGCCTCCCTCGCTTCCTCTCTTGTCCCCTTTTTCCCTCCCCCTCACCCTCCCACCAGGCGGCGCGCGTTGCGGGAGCGTCGTCTATTGGCAGAGAGTGCTGGGATCGGAGGAAGGGAAGGAAAAGGGAGCCGGAGTATGAAAGGAGGAGCTGGTTTCGGGAAGGGCAAGCGCCCGCCGGACGGGATTCGCTTCACAGCCTGGTAAGGGGTGGGGGGAGGGAGGGGCATAGGAAGAGGGGGGGCTGAGTGGAACAGAAGGCGACAGAGATGCAGGGATAGAAATGACAAAATGTGACGCTTGGTGAATCGCCGGCGTGACGGTCTCGTCCGCGCGCGCCTCATCGCTCCTGTCTCCCTCTCCTCCTTCCCTCCCCCTCCTCCTCCCGTCCTGTCGGCCCTCCGGTCGTTGCCCTTTCCTTAGGTACCGAGACCTGGTCGACGCGCTGAACCGGCGCGACCTCCTGCCGGCCATCGTCTTCATTTTTTCCCGCGCAGGTTGTGACAGGGCAGCAGCGGAGGTAAGAAAAGGGCAGGGATGGCGCTGGTAGAGGAGGAGGAAGGTGTGCTCCCTCCCAGCGGAGGGGGTCTTAGGGGTTGTCAATATCGTCGCCTTCTTGGGGTATGCCGTGGGGGCGTTGATCCTCATGATCTTCTCATGCCCTCCGGTGTGGGGGCGCTTCTTCCCGTAGCCTAATTGTTGACTGATCGTCCTGCCTCCCTCCTACCCTGCCTCCCTCCTTTCCTCCCTTGCTCCTCCCCGCGCGCTCTCCCCGTCTTGGCCCCCTCCTTCCTTCCCTGCCATTAGGTTGGTGGCATTGCTTCCAAATTGGGGCTTCTGTCCCACGCGGAAAAGAAGCAAATCAAAGACAGGCTGAGTGCCTTTCGGCTGGCGAATCCGCAGGTAGGGGAGGGAGGGAGGATGAGAGGGAGGACGAGGACAAGCGGAGGAGGAATGCATGGATGAATGTCATGTGTGGTGCGTCGGAAGCTCGCAGAGCAGATACAGAGGGAGAGCAAGAGGGGCCAAGGGCGGAGAAAGGATGAGGGCAAGGGGGAGAAGGAGGGCGGGCAATTACCTCAACAATGGGCCGGGAAGAGCTTCTGAGGGCGCAGAGGGCGCGTGGATTGGATTGTCCTAGGAGTGGAGTATTGCCGAGCCCTTACCCTCCTTGTATCTTTCCTCTTCTTCCCTCCCGCACTGTCTTGGTCCCTCCCTCGCCCTTTCCTAGGTGCCCTTGGAGAAGGAAAAGGTTCGGCTCCTCCTCTGCGGCCTGGCCACCCACCACGCCGGCCTCCTGCCTGTGTATAAGGCTCTGGTGGAGGAGCTCTTCAATGAAAATCTGATTCGGGTGAGAGAGGGAGGGGTAGAGGGAGGGAAGGAGAGAGGGGCGGAGAAGGTCGGTCGCCTCCAGGGTTCGCATCCTTGCAGACGAAAACCTGGCTTGCTCTTTCCTTCTCTCCCTTCGTAACCTATTCCTTTCCTTCTCTTTCTTCTCTGTGCGATGCTTTCCCTTTTTTTCCTTTTTCCTCCGTCCCACAGGTGGTGTTCGCGACCGAGACGTTGGCAGCCGGCGTGAACATGCCAGCGCGGGCCACGGTTATCTCCACACTCAGCAAGAAGATCGGTGCGCATGGAGGGACGGAGCGGAAACGAGAGGAACAAGAAAGGGGGAGGGAGGGAGGGAGAGAGCATGATTGTTGGCGTATGAGTTATGTGACTAGTCCAGGAAGAAAAGGAATATGGAGATCCCCAGAATGATCAGAGAGGAGGAATCGTTGGAGGGGCGGAGATGGACGTGTGCGCGCCGAGGTGCAAGACGTCTCTCACCCCGCGCCTCCTTCTCGCAAACCCTATGCCTGTCCAGGCAAAGTGACCATAAATTTACAGCCTTCCCAGCTCCTGCAAATGGCCGGTCGGGCGGGAAGACGAGGCAAAGACACCATGGGCCACGTGGTAGGGAGGGGAGGGGGAAGGGGAGGGGGAAGGGAAGGGGAAAGCGAGGAAAAGAAGGGGCAACAATTGTGTATGGACGCTGCTCTTGGTCCGTGAAGAAAGCTGGAAGTGTGTCTGTCTGTCTGTCTCTTGTCTGTCTGTCTGTCTGTCTATCTGTCTACCTGTCTTGAGTTCGGTGATTTCCACTCTTGTTTTTCACCCCCGAGATGCACATTGAATTATCCGCTTGTTTCCTTTCCCTCCCCTCCCCCTTGCCCGGCGCCCCTACCCCAGGTCCTGATGCGCTCTCGCTCCGAAGACGCCTTGGACGCCTTCAACCTCCTTTGTGCTCCTGTGGATTCCATCCGCTCCCATTTCCGATCCTCCTACGCGATGGTGGTCAACATCCTTCGCACCCGCGATTTGGAAAGCTGCAAGGTCTGATGTCTTTCCCTCCCTCCTTGCCTCCTTCCCTTCCTCCCTCCTTTCCTCCCTCCTTCCCTCTCGGCCCTATTTCATCCCACATCTCGCTTTCTTTGTCCCGTCCATTACAGCTCCTCGTAGAACGTTCCTTTGGGAATTATTTGAAGGCGTACTCTTTGGGGGAAGAGCAGGAAGTAGATATAGCGAACAGAGGTCTGTTCCTAGGGAGAATAGGGGGGGAAAGAGGTGTGAGACTTGTACGATGTGTCTGAAGACGTCAACACCACGGCGAAAGAAATCCACGGCCCATTGAAAGGAAGATGATTTAAGGGATGCAAACATGTTGACTACACGCGTCGGGAACGTGGTGTGGAAGGCCCATTTGGTTGGCCCCGTTAAGGAACAAGAGGGAAAGAGGGATGGGGGCACGGACCTGGAGGGCAGCATCTGTATGTCTTACCTACTTCGTATTGCCCACCAGATGAATTGAAAGGCCGCTTGGGAGGGGTGGACGCAGGGGAGCTTCGCATGTACGAAGATTTGCAGGAGAAGCTGATGAAGGTAGGGGACGAGGAGGGAGGGCTGGAGGGAGGAAGGACATTTTGGGAAGAGAGGGATGGAAGGTGGCAAGAGGGAAGCAAGAAAATCATGATGGACTCACGAAATTCCCCCGTCACAGGCGACGCGCGCGGAACGGAACTTGAAAAGGGAAGCCGCGAAGCTGGAAGAGAAGTATGTCAAAGCTGTTTTAGGAGCGGTAGGTCCCTCCTTCCCGTCCTGCTCCCTGTCCAGGCATTCCCTTTCCTTGATCTTTCTGAAAAGCTTCTGATGAAAAACTTTCCAGTCGCCTCGCTGTAGATCGAACATCCGTTTTCATACCACATCTAATTCCACCCCTTTCCCCCGCCCTCCGTTCGCGTGCTTTTGTTTCGGCCCCCGCCCTCATTCTTTTCAAACCCTCCTTCCCTCCCTCCCCTCTCCTCGTGCACCTTCACGCCCGCAGGTCCGTCTTGGCGCCGGGCTTCTTCTCCGGGACGGGCGTACCCTGGCCCTTATCGGAGAGGCCACTCTACCCCACCCTCTCACCAACACACAGCTCAATCTCTACGTGGGGTTGAGTCAGAACGGGAAGCTGGTAAGGCGGGGGGGAAGGAGGGAGGCAGGAAGGAGGCTGAGGGACCCAGAGGGCCATGGAGAATGGACGGGAGGGGCCTGCGGGCCGGAAGGGGGTCAGGAGCCCTCTTTGCCTCCATTCCTCCCACCGCCTTTTCTTCCCCTCCCCCTAGGTGGCCGTCTCGATAGGGGACATACGGAGCGTGGAGGCGGAGAAAGATGGGCTGGACGTGGAAACCGCCTTTCAGATCTCGCTTTTGCTGGAAGGGACGGCCCAGGGGGGCCTGCTCTGGCGTCCGGCAGGAGGAAGCGGGGGAGGGGCCGGGGGAGGAAGCGGGACCTTGACCTTCGTCGCTGAGCCGGTGGATCCGCACTCCCAGGAGGCCCAAGATTTGGCCGCTTACCTGCTGGAACACGGACAGCGGGTCCCATCCCTTCCCCTCCCCATGCCATCGCCGGATCTGGTGCGGCAACAGGCCTTGGTGGCCTCCCTCCAGGAGCAGATCGGTCTTTCCCCCTTGTCCGGGCTGGGGGAGGCCGCGTCCGCCTCCCTATTGGCGGTCCGCAATGAACTGGAGCGAGTGGAACGCCGGATCAAGAAGAGAGAGAAGACGTTGCGGGGGGTGCGGCAGAAGGAGTGGGAGGACTTCCTGGCGGCCGTGGATCTCTTGGAAGGTAGGGAGGGAGGGAGG